CAGGCTTCTTCTAATGACATTGCCTCAGTCACTGATGGGCTTGATGCTTAGAAGGGCCGATGGCTGAATTTTTCATGACGCTGTCACCACACGTTGCTGGATGGTGCATGGTTCTCCAGCTTTTGAGGGCTGGTCTTTGATTTCTTATTACTCTTTTTCTTAAATACAGCCTTAACAGTGCTTAAGTGCACAGTTTGGAGATACTAGTGTTAGTGCGTATGTTTGTATCAGTGCACCCCCCACTGTCAACATCCATCTGCGCAACTCCCTTCACCCTGCAAAGCAGGGTCTCTAGACCCCATTGCACAACGCTCCATTCATCCTAACCCCAGCCCCTGGTAGCCGCCCCCTGCCTTTCTTTTAAATAGAGAAGTTCCCAGAAAACTCCTTTGCCGAAGTTAAATATGCACCTTTCAGAGGATGGTTAACCTCCGCTTTCATCAGTGTCTTTCCATTTCTTAAGTGAGAGACAAGGATGGACGTCAGGATGGACCCTCTTGCCCTTGGTTGAGTTTGGCTGACAGACTCAAAGGAATGAGGTGGAAGGGGGTTTCTCTAATTATGTAAAGACAACAAAAGGCTGTTGCTCTACAGAAAAATTAGATTGTGAACCTTCTTGAGTTAAAATGGTATCATACAGAATCCCTTATTTTCACAGCATCACCTCTTTTGAGTTAGAACTTGCCTATATCAGTTAGGATGGGCCAGATTATGCTGCAGTAAGGAATAGTCCTCAAAGCTCAGTGGCTTAATGTGCCTTCTCATTCCTGCTGTGTGTCTGATGGAGATTGGCTGTGAGGTCTGCATTCACCCTAAGCATCTTGGGAGCCAGGCGGAGAGGGGCTCCATCATGACAGACTCTTAGGTCTAGAGACAAGAGCAAGTGTGGCGAGCGAGGAGTTTGTTGAGTAGTATTTTTTTGTTCGTTTGTTTTTTTCCGGTACCGGAAATCGAACTCACAACCTTGCGCTTGCCATGCAGGCACTGTGCTGCTGAGCTAAATCCCCAGCCCCTGTTGAGTAGTATTAACATATTGTGTCTACTCACCTTTCATTGGCCAAAGCCAAGTGTCGTGGCCATGCTTGCTTCAAAGGGGTCAGGGAAGGTTCCTGCCTCTGTATTCCTGAATGAAGAGAGCTCAGAATACCCAATAGTCTCAGGGATGACCCTGAGCTCGGAGGTCAGGATCAGTGCATCCTAGTAGAAAAGAGAAATACAAAGTGAAACATTTTAAAAATACAGGCTTGGAAGAGATATTGGTATTTATAGTAAATTGCTGTGACCATCCTAGTTTCTCTAAGCTTTCATTTTGCCATCTGCAAATTGGTCACCTGGGCCTCCTCCATGTGATTTCTATTTAAAATTGAGATTCATAACAGGTATTTAGCAGAGTTTGCTATCAAGCGTTGAAGGGCTTTCCATCTGTTATTCAGGCGTGACATCAAGGTTGTGTTTCCTTATCCATAAGTTAGGGATGGAGGATGGGGAGTGGAGGGGCGTGACCAAGGTGGAGATGGGGAGGCTGATTTTGGGGAAATAGACTGAAGCCTGCTGAGGGCTGAGAGCCAGAGGTGGGTGCAGGAGACACACCCTGTCCTTGGTGACGCAGGCTGGCTCCGCAGTGGTGGCATCTGAATGCCTCACGTTGTCCTTATATACTGGGTAAAGCACCAGCTCTCTGAAGTCTGGAAGCTCATCATTTCCCCGGAGCTCTGCCTACAAAGCAAAAGCACAAGTTAGGTCACAGAATCAGCAGATAATCAAGTGTTGCCAGGTACTTTGGAGGACAAAGAAATGGTGCCAAAAGAATCATGTTTTTTTTTCTTCTTCTTTTTTTTGTTTTTTAAACTTTATCTGTAGTCCTATAGGGAAAGTTTTTAATGAAAAATAGAAAATGAAGTACAATATTTTTAGGGCAGGTGTAGAAAAATTATACCTGAATATTAGGGTGATGTATTATGTAAGGATTTTTTGAGGAAACCGTCTATTAAAGTGTAAGATGTACATAGAAACATACCCACGTTGGTGGTGTTAGCAAACTGAACACACCCAGGTCACACTCATGTAACTAGCTCCCACATCAAGACGGAAAACTCACTTTGCTTCTTTCTGTTCTCCCCCATCACTATTTCCACTAAAGAACTGGTTGTTTGTGGGTTTTTTTAGCACTGGGAATTGAACTCAGGACCTTGCACTTGCCAGGCAGGTGCTTGTGCCGTTGAGCTACATTCCTGGCTCCCCACTAAATAACTGTGGTCCCGACTTCTGACAGTGTGAATTTGTTTGTGTCTGTGTTTGTATTTTATATAAGTAGAAACCTATAGCACACAGGATATGGTCAAAAAGGATGATGAATATTTAAATTAAAAAGAAAACTTACTGCAGGAAAAGATACATTGCCATTAACCCTCCTCGGAATACTCTTCTTTACTTGGAGCATCCCATCATTCTTGCTATCAAGAGTTGAATAACACTGATGAATAACATTGAAGAACATTGATCCCATCATTCTTGCCACTTTCTGAAGCACTTCTGGAAGTCCTCTTTCATGAGTGTCTTTAGTTGCATTGGTGTGGCTGCGTCAATGTCTTGAACAGATTTAAATTGTTTACCTTTCATGGTCATTTTGACTTTGGGGAAGAAGTCACCCCATCCCAAGTCTGATGAATAAGGTGCATAAGTACACAGTGCAATGTTTTTACTTGGTGGAAATTGCTATACATGTTTTAAATCGATTCAGGATGCTGAGGCAGCCATAAAAAGTCTCAGAAAAGAGGCTTCCCAGAACTGCTACAGAAAGTGGCAAGAATGGTGGTATAAGTGTGTTTGAAGTGAGCGCAAGTATTTTGAGGGATATTCAGGGCAATGTGTGTTTCACTGTAGTAATTTATTTTTGTTTGAATATTCACTGTATTGTCTGATCACTCCTCATATTTACTCTTGAATGACAAGCTCCTTTCCTCTACTTTATGTGTGTGAGATTTATCTGAGTTGTCGTATGCAGTTACAGAGCCTTCTTTCTCATTGCAATATTGTATTGTGTTGGGTGATTCTGCCACATATTTATCCATTCTCCTGCTGCTGGCTACCTAGAAAATTCCTAGTTTTGCCCATTACAAATTATGGCATTGTGCACACTCGTACATTAATTCTGATGAGCATCTGATGAGAATGTGTGTTTGTTGGGTGTATATCTTGAGTGCATTTACTGGGTCACAGGCATGCATATATTCAACTTCAGTAGGCTGTGCCTAACAGCTTTCCAAAGCAGTTCACCTGCTTATAGTCAGAAGCCAACGGTACCTAAGAGTTCCGGTTGCTCCAAATATTCGCCAACACTGAAATTTTTGAGGTTTTTTTTTTTTCATTTTGAGAAAATACTCCTTTAGATTGTTCTTCCATTTGAGCTGGTTCTCTCTCTGATAATGAAGGCAGGGAAAAATAACCCCACCTAACAAAATACTTGCTCATGCTGAAGGCTTGAGAGATCCAAAGATCCAACATTGTGTATTGCCCTGGATGGGAGTAGGCTTGGCGGTTTCATGTTATGTGGGAAGGTCTGGGACTTTTACATGTTTATCTAGTGTAACTTCAGAGCCATACATAGGGAGAAATGTTTAAGATAATGACTTTCAAAGAGGAATAAATATTTAAAAATTTGAACAAATTCAAGAGTGAAAGAGGGGTCTCATATATAGACGTGTTGCCTTTTCTCTCCTAAATTCCTCAACCTCCAAGTGTTAACCTGGGACTTCCAGTGCCTCTGTCTCCTGTCCTCTTCCCACCATGCTCTCACAAAGTGATTTCGTGTGCTTTGTCACCCGATTCTTCTGCTGTCTCTTGATGAGAGTGTCTAGATGATTGACATTTTCTTAATTCACCAGCAGATACTCTTTTTAGAAAAGTAACGACTGCTGGATCGTTTATGTTTGTCCACTGTGAGGACTTCATTGGCAAACACCAATTTTAATATTTAATGCTATTTCTTTGGTGGAAACAAAGCTCCTGAGATTCAGAAATAACACAAGTAGCTGTAGTGGTCCCTTGACTAAAATTTCAGTTGCCAGCCAGCATGGAGAATAGGTAGTGGGGCAGTATCAGTAGAATTTTGTTTGCTACCCCTCATTCCAGGGAGTTAGAAAACTGAGACAACACATAAAAGAACAAGGAATCAGGTTTTTGTGCAAGAAAAAAAATGATAGTAGTTACTTAAGTACTATCTTGGCTGAATAGACCGTTTGGTTAAGTGGGTAACTTCTGAGCATTTATTAAACTTCTCTGGATTTAAGGGAATACCTGCAAAAGTCTAGTGTCTTCACTCATTAACTGAGTTCCCAAGATTCATTAATAGCAAGTTACTGCATGTGAGTTGTCTCTGATGTTTTGCCTTTTGGAGGATCTTTAATTTGTACCAACTCCAGTTACACGTCACCTGTCTGTTGGTGGCTGTCTCCCAGAATCATCTTTGCCGTCCTAAGAGGCCATTGAGTCCCAGTGCAAGGAGCACAGCTGGATGAGTGCTACTCAAGGATACTCCCACAGGGTCCCCTAGGACAATATCACCTCTGGTTGTCCCAAACTTTTCCCTCACCCTTAGTTTTGTCGTTGCTAATTAACCCTGGGATAGGACGTTTAGATAAGAGTTGCAGTGGTTCATTGGGCATTTATGACCCTCAGCCCTCAACCACACCATGTCATTGACCATGCCTCCTTGGAAACTGGATTTTACCTCACCACCACCGTCTTGGCTGGAAACCAAGCTGTGTAGAAGTATGAGGTATGCGAATAAGTTATGTTAAGTACACTGGGTGAAGCGGGGCAGGGATCTGACCTGAGCCTAACTGACCTGAGACTTACTGATTTGCCAAAGGAGGAGGTCAGGTTAGCCTTACCCAGCAGTGTCTACCTTGCCTCCAGTGCACTGCTTCGCTGGAAACGCACTGCTTGTTTCTCATCGTTTCTAAGTTGTGGCTCTTCCTGCTGACACCCCTCTTGTGCAGACCACCAGCCAGACCGAGCTGGAGAATTGGATCACCGCCATCCACTCTGCCTGTGCGGCTGCCGTCGCAAGACACCACCACAAAGAAGACACGCTCCGGCTCCTGAAGTCAGAGATCAAAAAACTGGAACAGAAGATCGACATGGATGAGAAGATGAAGAAAATGGGTGAAATGCAGCTGTCTTCCGTCACCGACTCCAAGAAGAAGAAAACTATATTAGATCAGGTAATCATTCTTCTATGTTTAGACCCCAGCAAACTTGTTAGGGCTTTACATATATTTTCTTTTCTGCCTCAGAGTTGAGAAATGTCATCTCTTATCTCCCCGTCAACCTGTCATCCAGGCTGCTCCATTTTTTACTGTGACTGTCAGTTTCCTTCACCCTTTGTTCACAGTCGATTGTTATAAGTGAAAGGGAACAAGATAACATTGAGTGGAAGACAGAAGTCTAATAGGATCCTTCCTGCTTCCACCAATGGGGTGCTATTCTGGGGATCTGTGTAATTAGGAAGTCTGCAGTTACAGTCCCCAGATGTGGCCTCCCAGATCTCAGCCCCAGCTCCTCACAGCCTCCAATATGACATTTACGATTGGAGAATGCAGATGACCCCAGCTCCGCTCAAGGGGGATTCATTTGCGACTCCATTAAATTTAGAATGCTAAATTTAGAAAAGGTGAAGTGTGGTTTTTAAAAATGTATACAGCCATCTCTTAACTACCCATGTGGGATTGGATCCAAGACCCCCCCATAGATACCAAATCAAAGGATGCTCAAGTCCCTTATATAGGTGTAGTGTTTGCATGTAACCTGCACACATCTTCCCAGGTACTTGAAATCTCTGTATCTCTTTTGATGTCTCATATAATGTAAATATTATGTAGGAAATTGTTATACTGTAATGTTTAGAGAATAATGAGGAAAAGTCTGACATGTTCAGTATAGATGCAATAGGGTATTTTTTACTGGTGTTCATTTATGTAAAGTCACCTGATAGTGCCTTAACATTTTGTCATAATGCTTATGAGGTAAGTTTGTAAATAAATGATATGTAAATAATTGAACAGCTAATGACATGAGCCAGCCTGTGGCCTTTGACATCTCTCTCTCTGTTCTATGATTGTATGCTGTATTGCTTTAGGCAAAATTCACACAACTTAAAACCATTTTAGAGTGAACAGTTCATTAGGAATCAGTACGTTCACAATGCTACAGCCCCCCCACTTCTCTCTAGTTCCAAAACATTTTCATCCACCCCCAAAAGAAACCCCACAGCTGCTGAGCATTTGCTTCCTGGCCCTTGGCATTCTGTCTTTACAGATTTGCCTGTTTGAGTTGTTTCCTATGGATGGAATTGCATAATATGTGCTTTTTGCATCTGGCTTCTTTCACTTAGCATAGCATTTTGGAGGTTGTGACATAAATTAGTACCTACTTCATGCCTGGTTTTTGGCTGGTGTTACTTCACTGTACTTACATACCACAGTGTATTTGTCCATCTGTCCACTGATGGGCGTTTGAGCTGTTTCCACCTTCTGGCCGTTGTGAATAACAATGCTAGAAACGTGAGTGTATGCTAATGCTGTACTTTAAGTCAAGGTTAAAAGGTAGAGTTTGAGTATTACTCATTAACTGTATTATTATTAATGCCACAAAGCCTTCACTTTGTCCCAGACCCTGTACCTATTCTTGCATTATTTTACTTAATCATCACATCAGTGGGTAGGTGTTGTTTTCCTTCTAATAAGGGAATGCCATGGATACTCACTGTGTTTGGAACTGTATTCCAGTGTCTGGGTCTCTACCATCTTTTGTTTTTCACTTCGAGCCATCTGGTGTTGTGCCCTCATCTCTTCTGTAAAGTTCTTGGTCTGTTTTTTTTTTAGTTCTCCTCACTTTTCTCTCTTTATAAAAAAGCACCACTTAGAAAGCCATGTCCATTCTCTGGCTCTGGAAAACCCTCCCCAGGTCTCATCCACAGACTTCCCCCACCCTTCCCCGGGACATCTATCCCTGGGGAGCACAGAGTCACCAGTCATAGGCTTTCTGTTTTTATACTGATTTTATGGCTGCAAGTCTTTGCAGAAAAAAATATACCTAGCTAAGAACCTTAGAGTACCTGTTGTTTACTTTTCAGGATTATAATTAGTACCTGTGCAATGTACAGATTTATAAGGTTTGTATAGGGTAAAGTTGTTAACAATTGTCTTCTCTTTTTTTCACCTTTTCCCATATTTTTACTCCTGTAGATCTTCGTTTGGGAGCAAAATCTTGAACAGTTCCAAATGGACCTATTCCGCTTCCGCTGTTACTTAGCTAGTCTCCAGGGTGGGGAGCTTCCAAACCCCAAAAGGCTACTGGCTTTTGCAAGCCGACCAACGAAAGTGGCGATGGGCCGCCTTGGAATCTTTTCTGTGTCATCCTTTCATGCCCTGGTGAGTAGAAGCTAATAAATGTTTGAAAAATATTCATGTTGATGCTCCATCCTGAGCAGGACTTGACAGCAGTCTCTGAAGTGTTTTCCTAGTGTACTGCTGTGTGCATTTCTGAAATGCCCTTCCTTTGCAGTGGATTCAGATTTTCCTTTGAACCTGTTTAGAAACTGATGACTTGTGCACCTTCTGATGAGGTCTAAATTGTTGTGCAGAGAAAATGAAAAAGGCACTGTCTTTTTTGGTGTCTGGGATTGAACTCAGGGCCTTATGCAAGCTAAACAAGTGTTCCACCACTGAGCTACACCTCCAGCCCCTGACCTGTCATCTTACAGGATGTTTGCCGCACTCTCTGTTGATAGTTCTTGTTATCTGTAGGCAGTGTTGCCTTTTGAACTCAAATACATTTAAAAATTTTTAACCTTGTGGAAAGGGTGCATGGGAGGCTTCCTCTCATGCATGAAAGCATTCTCTTTTTTATTTCTCCCTCACATACACATACACCATATATTAAACACAGATCTCATTGGAGATCTTTTCTTCATTTATTTTTATCATTGTTTCATAGTCACAAATACATAGTGTGTTAGAGGAAGGCCAAAAATTCTCACGATGCTCCACCTGAACACATGTATTGCGGGAGGAAGGGCCTTTTCCTTTGACCTCAGGAGCACAGTACATACGGTTGCATTGTATGTGTGTGATCTGTAATTTCATGTACTTGAGAAATTGCGAACAGCTTTATGTACTTTTGGTTCCTTCCTGCTGAAAAAAATCACTGTGCAAATAACGTGCTTTTAGCCTGTCCAAGTCGACACCCACTTAAAATGTACTACTGCACCTTAGTACATTTGCTACGGAATTAAATGTTAAGTCTCAGTTTCCAGGAACCGCTTTGGAAAACCTCGGCTGGGCCTCTCTTGTCTTACCATGTCAGCTGTACCCTGCATTGAATTCAGAGTTGTAATTCAGTCAGAGGCGTTTGTGTTCTTTATAAATAGATTAGCGCCATCATTCAGATAATTAGGGGTAGATTTACATTTTTAAAGAAGTCTTAAACCAATTTCTGGAGTTATTAAAACTGGCATCCTGATTTGTTCTGCTAATTACAGCCCTGCTCTTGGCCTGCCTGCCTACCACCTCTCTGTATAGCTATTATGTCTTTATTTTTTTAGCAATGGTGATGCAAAGTGCTGGGATGAATAAGTCTTAAAAACAGTTTTCAGTTAGTGACATTATGTAGGTCTGTTTCTTTGAGGTTATGTTTTTCCTTAAAAAAACCAGGATGAGAATTGTTTACCTTCTTGTCAGAATATCCTGGTGAAGGGAGCTTTTTTATTCAGAGGGCTCCTGATGTCCCTGAGGCACTATCTATAGGAAAGCAAACTCTAGTGTCTGCCTAGCTCCCTCCTTTTGCTTTGGCTTAGTAGAATTTGGGGAAAATACTTAGACTTTCTGCCTAAAACGTATATACCTATTATTTTTTTCCAAACCAGGGGCGCTCACCTCTCTAAGACAGGCAAGTAAAAGCTACTACATTGCTGTTCCATAATTTATCTCTAGTCTTTCTAATTTTCCTCAATGAAAAGTCTGTGATTTGTGTGTACTTTCCTTTCAGTGGCAGGCTATTAAAATCTGGCCAGTGGAAGATGTGCATAGGAAAGTTAGTAACTCAGGTTTCTTTGGTTAGTAATTTTATTTATTTGTTTTTGCAGTGTTGGAGATTGAGCCCCTGGCCTTGCACGTGCTAAGCAAGTGCCTTATCCTTGAACTACAATCCCAGCCCCTGGTCAGTGATTTTAAAGAAGGCTATTTAATTCCAATGTCCAAATCTCCCTTCCTTTGTTCTTTTTCTTGCTAGCTGCTTCAGCGATGTGAATCTCTTATGTGTCCTTGCCAACTTATCTTTTGCACGAAGAATTTCATTTGAGACAGAACAAGCTAGGTGACCCTGTTGGGTATCTGTTCCTATTTTCTGTCTCAGCTCCTATGGAACATCCAGGGTTGGGAATTTTAGTCTGGTTCACAGAATAGTTTGTTTTTTTTTTTAGCTCTTCCCCTTGTCATTTGACCCCAAGTATTTTTTTTTTTTCCTCCCCTTTGGATTTGAAACACTCTTCAATTTAGCCTTTGTTCAGAATTTTTTTTTCCCTCCTTTTCAGTGGGGGC